TTATATCGATTTATATCGATCATTATTAAATATTTAGCTGCAAAGCAAACGACAGTACGATCAACAAACAGTTGATCTGCATTTGTTCTTGTTACAAAATAAGTGCAATTTATTCAATCGGTAATGAATACAGAAAAGGCTAACCGATACCCGAAACTCTCAAAAAGGCGCAAAGACAGCTAATAGTAAGAGAAATTTTAAAATCTTTAGTAAGTCATAATTACTGTTGCTCGAAATTATTCAATATTTGATTTGTGATTTGTGCTGAGAAAAGAATGCACTATTCTTTGTTTGAATGCAACCGAATTTCTTCTGCAACTTTGCACCATTCAGCACTCTGAAGTGTAACTCGATTGATTATCAACACAGTTGCGAAATTCTTCATGGAAGCTGATGCTATTCAGCAGCATCATCATAGACCTCTTGCTCGCCATTAGATGCCAATACTTGTGTTTGTTCGGCAGATTCGTCGCTGACGTCGGAATAGTCCTGTGGCTCGAGTGTTTCGATTGGATCTAGCGTTACTTCATCAAGGACAAGCTCTGCAGATTCTGCTTGGTATGGTGTCACTCCGAAGACTGCCACTGGATCATCCGATCTGGAAAATCGTTCCAGATTTTGTTTTTTTGGTTTCTTTTTGGGAACTGGCGACTTCACTTGCTCGCGATGAGTCGTCTCATGATCTTGCTTCTGCCCATGTTGAGAGTGTTTCGTTGGTGGATGCACATAGCCTGAAAATCGATATATTACCGATTCAGTGGGATGTGCTTTACTGATTTGCTTGGATAAGGATAATCAAAGAGTCAACATGAGATCAGGGGTTTTCTTGATCGGTAAATGTTACGTGAATTAGTAACTCTGGAAGTGAGAAGCATGGGAACGCACGGGAGAAATGTTCAGTTTATATTTTACTGAGAACATTCGACTGAAAAAAAGAGGCAATGGTTTGAAAATTACTATGACGAGGGATTTGTACCATAAAGGGACTCGGCGAGCATCAAATGGAGAAAGGAACAGGTGGTGAAGTTCAGTGGAATCGTTTGAGAAGTTTTTCGAGGAGAAAAATCGAAGCTCACCTTGACAATGCGAACAAGAGCCAGGTGTTCCGGGTTCTCCTGCTGGCCCAGGAGGTCCTGGGAGGCCAATGTTACCTGGAGAGCCTCTGAAAGGAAAATCAACAGTGTTCATCCTAAAATGTAACCAAAAGATATTATATCCATTTTTTGAATAAATGAATGCAAAAAGTTATCCTGTTGACCGGAATTTTTATCCACCCAAGGCAATGCTTCCAATTCGATTGTTCTGAACGTCCGTTTTGAAAACTCCAAAGGGAGAATATCTAAAGAATGATCCATCTGCAAGCACACAAAAGTTACACACCTATCTCCAACACTACCGCGAATTCCTTGAATTCCACCAAGTCCAGGCCTCCCATCCTCTCCTGAAGAAACAAAAACTGCAATAACTGAATATTTCAAATAGCACTGCAGTCGTATAGAACGTCATGAATAAGCCCGCTGCTGTGAAATATCAAAGCTGGACTAGGCTGTTGTATGAAATGGAAACCGTGCGATAAACCCATTTTGGACGCAAACAAAAACAGCGTGTTCAGTGCGAAATGTTGTTTGTTGTACCTTTAGCACCAGGTCTTCCTCGCGGTCCCATCGGCCCAGGAGGACCTACAGGTCCTTGGGGTGCACCGTTCAACACGCGACCACGATCACCAGGCGGTCCCCTTGGACCTGGAGGGCCCGTTTCGCCTCTAAGACCTGGTGCTCCTGGCGGTCCTGGTCTATTATCTTCACCCTTCTGCCCAGGTTCACCACGTTTGCCTTGCTTCCCTCTTCTGCCCTTTAGTCCAGGGAATCCGGGTGGCCCTGGTGGTCCTGGTGGACACTGCAAATGAAAACTGATCAACTTGGATGCTGACTGATGATCTATTGTGCGGAAATAGTTTCTAGAGCAACCTTCTGGCATCCAGACGATCCCGGTGTTGGTGCAGGCAGATAGACACCGTTGCGCCCATCTGGGCCATCTTCACCAAAATCACCATCAATACCTGAACAGACTTTGAATCTGTTGTCGCCATCCTGGTGAACTCTTCAACCTGTTACGTGTGTGCCAGACCAGATCTCCGTGCTCATTATGTAAGCATCACTATGGAGGGAATTTCACTTACCGTCTTCTCCCGGTTTACCACGAGGTCCACGAGGCCCTGGTGGTCCTTGCGTGCAAGAGCAGCATGACACGTCAATGAAGTTATCGAATGCTGCTTGCAGTTTAGTCAGATCTCTAACGAAACGACCCTTTTTAGGATCCAACGTCAGCTGTTTCCAAATATCTCTTGATTGCATCTGGAAATGTGATCAGATTCAGGTGAGGTGCACTTCCTTGTTCAAAACCATACGTCCTTGCATGAGAATTTAGAACTGATACTAGATTTAGAATCATAAGCTATTAACGGTTTGTTGCGGCATGTATGGCACACACTAGTATCACCATTAGAAAATAGAAATCAAGAAACATTTTCATCTTTTTTGCTCTCATATCCCCAACTAGCCTTCGCAGGGCACTCTATCACGCATTTTCCATTCATTCATATATCTATCGGAATTAATGCAAAAGTCGATCTGCATCAAAGACTATTGACTTTGATTCACACTCACAATAACCTCGTCAACCATACCTTACAGAGTTCAACCTGCGATAGCATCATTGAAGTGCTTTTTTGAATTTGCATATGAACGAGAGGAAGTAGTACGATAACGGCAAGAAGCGCAGCCGTACTGCAAACTGTTGCGATTATGGTAGTCCAGCGGGATGCTGGGATTGTGAAGTGGTACATCAGCGTTTCTGATTTCAATTTTGTGGTACTCTGCAAATAAGTTCATGAAAAATTTGACTAATTACGACAATTATATGCATGGCTCGCATGCTTATCTGCATGGATAGGTCATACAAATACGTTAAACGATCAACAAGAAATGTCTGCCTCTAAAGTGTAATATGGAAAGTTTTGTAGCAAAACTCAGTTGAGATGAGTTCACTTAGCGTACAATGTAATGAAAGAGCGAAATCAATTCCTTAAGATGTCAAAAACCGATCACACCGCTTTGCTCGTCACAGAAGTGCATTTTGCTAGGAGAGCGCGACATTTCCACTAATAATGGCGTAATATCTAGGTTATAATTTTTTGAAAATCAAAAAGGCACACAAAAATATGTCAACATTTATCAACTGAATGAATAAAGAGTTCATATCCACCAATGTGCCAACGTTTAATTTTCATCAGATAAAAACAATAGACATTCAACAATATGTTTTTCTTCCAAGGTCAAAGCAATCGTTAATGAAACATTCCGACTTTATTTCGTTCTCTTCTAATCATCTGACATTGTCACAATATTTCGAAGCATCTGATCAGAAATAACAGAAATTGAATGGTTTGTAATTGGAGTCGCAGACGAAATCGTCTCAATACTTCACCAAACATTTATCTTTGATACTGTGATAATGAATTTAATTAGTTCACATGAGTTTGTACTAAGAAGGTTTCTCACCTCAAATCATAGATTGACCTCATTCAACAATATCGATCGTGCACGCTAAAAAACACTCATGAATTTTTATGTGCGTTATTGCCAAGGAAAAAAAGAGGACAACTTCTTTCGCGTCATCATCATCATTGACATAAATTTTTTCATGACATAAATGCATGGAAAAATCATCATCGTAAGAATCAAGAAAAAAATAATTGACGAGCATCAAAGTACTGAGCGGTTGTTGACCATATCAAGTGCTGCATCGCATGAGCACTTTGACGTGTCATATCCATTTCTTACATGAAAACAATGACTATGTAGCACAACATAGACAAAAATTTCTGCATACGGACTTCACTAAATGTTCAGAGGTACCACAGGTCGAACTGCATGATCTCCATGAATGTTGTGATGAAATTTTTCAACTTCATCGGAAAGCAACATCGTTTCCTTCAACGATGGCCTAACTTCCAAGGAAAGTAGCATGAACGGTTGTGCGATTGATTGTGGATTTGGAGCGTACCAATCGTCTCAGGACAACCCTTTTTGGATTTCTCTTGTTGATTGCTTGTCGTACAGATTGCTAAATGACAGATAGATCAAATGGATAGAAGCACGGATTTTGGAGCTCCAGGAATGCAGCTATGGTTCTTGAATTATTCATTTTTCATCAAATGAGTGTTGTCAACATTCTTCTTCGTCTTTTTGTACTTGAGATGAACTCACGACAATGCTCTTTTCAACCACATTTTGAACATCAGACAACATCGAACTGACCGATATTGTAAATTTCTCTTTGATTTTTTTCACATTCATTTGATTTTTACGTTACAATCAGTCTATAAAGTTTGCCACTGCGTTGACCATAAGTAGGCGATTTTGTTTTACACACATCTTTCATAAGTTTCATTCCAATACTTCCATGAATTTGTGATGCGGCACTATTACTCTTGAGAAGAAATCCTAAGAAAGGATCTGAATCTATGAAACCTATTTTATTCACAAGCCTGCTAACATAACGTTGTATCTTGTTGCATTGCAGTCGGTTTAGCAGTGTGAAAAACCTTTCGAAAGAATCAGTCTAACAGACGAAGAACCACGGTTTACGAACACGTGAAATTCACAACAGTGCTGGAAACCGAACAAAATTTCCTAAGCCATGAGAAGTTGTTTGAAATAACCGACAGTGGAAAGCCAACAATTAAAAATGACTTTAATTGATGTATCCGAATAGATCCATGGTGATCAGCATATTAAATATCACATAATCAAGCATAAACAGTATACGTTACCATATGTATTTCGCATAACTGAACGCAGCCAACTAGCGATTCAATAATCACTCGTATCAACAGTCAACACTACGCCGGTCGCACGATCCGATTAGCAAGTGACAATGACATTTTTAAATAATAACCAGAAACTTTTATACTAAATTTTCATAAGAAATATCGCAAATTTCCTATGAAACGTTTACTGCTAAGTTTGAGCAGCGCATAATTAAGTTACTGAACTGAAAAAGAAGTGATTCGACGAGCTAATGAAAACCGAAACCGCTTTCACTCTCGTTTGAAGCATTTGGAGGCAAATTGTGTTCAAAAAATGCACAATAAAATTTTTGCTTAACTTTCCTGGACTTTTTTAGGATGAAAATCATGGAGTCATCTTTCAAGATGCGCACATTGATTATCAGCTGCATTACGCTCTTCCTAATGGCAAATGACAAAAGCAAACTTTTTTCAAATTTACCCATGACTTCGAGAAATCTCAATAAACAATTATTTATTCAATGAAAATTTACATTCACTTTCCCAAAAATTTATCCTTTATGAATAATTCCTGATAGGTTGACTTAAGTAATGAACGAGACTTTCCATTACACAGATGAATATGAGAAAAAAGTGTGAAAAAATAACGTTGATCACATGCAATGACGAATGATCTTAGTCACTATCATAGAGATCACTAGGCCAGGCCACAAATTCGATTGTTTGCTGCCAGAACCGGTTGGTGACCTTGTCGTAGATCTCACCGTTGTGTTGGAGCTGTAATGACTGACCGAATTGGAATGAGACGTGTTTAAAACACACAATATTTCATGGAGAAACATCTTCTTCCAAAATTTTTAAGTTCTCGAAATTGATGAACTGGTACAATATGAAGAATCGTCAATTGGAACGATGCATAGGAATAGTAATTGTGCCGAACCTACCCTTTATTGGTCCATGAAATCTCAATGATGTCTGGTCCTTGATGAAGCGCCACAAGCTGTGCTTTTGTTAGCCTTATGAATTTGTTTGAAGCGTTATATGTTGACTCTGGAACTTGGATAGTTTTGCCGTTAAGTTTTACAGTTTCGAAATCAGGCTCGTATGGAGCGCCGAAAACATCAATTGTATTGAGATATGACATGTTCACGCTTCCCTGAAACTGACGAAGAGGATCAATTGTTTGGTAGATGAGCAGGTTCGTAATTTTGGAGAACCTTTCACGAGCTTTGATTTGTTTCCATCATTCAAACTTCAGTAACACATTTTTCGAAACAGTGAGTTTGGCTTGCACAACAATTATTCCGTAAACCAATAAAATCGCTCTCAAATATTTTTGACGACTCGATCAGTTCAACCAACATCAACAGAATATTGCTTCGTAGAAGGAAACAAATCACCTTTGAAATACGAGTTATATTAAGTTCCGACTTTTGCGTAGTGCATGCGAATCGTAACCGAAACTCATAATGGGGATACGTAGTAAAGTTATGTACGACACTTTCTCCATCGTCCCAATACATAAAACCTTCAGCCGTGCGAGACACGGGGTCTTGAAAATAAATTCAATTTAAAGTGTAAATTTATGCAAATTTTGGTATCAATAGTGAAGATCATCTCCTCAAAAAATTCGGTGTCGATCAATTTCCGTGAACTTAGAATGCACGAAGGTAAGTGCATGTTTAGTATTCGAAGGTCATTCGAATGAACTAAGTTGGTAGAAATATTGAAGTTTTATTAGAAAGCTCGTTAGGAGCGATGCAAGTCACACTTCTTTATCCATCATTGTTAGCCACATATCAAAAGATTCTTCTCATTGTTCAATCAGTCAACAATATCGCCATCAATCGAGTGTCTTCCCCATAGAGTGGTGTGACAAATCTGTTTAAGTTCATTTCTTCTTTCCAACAACATTTCTTCAAATTGCAGTGAATTTACAGTTGGTACATTAATGGACTAAGAATGGTGAGGATGTCATTCTGAAAGGAATTTGAAAACTTTGAACTCACCAACTGCAACCAATAACTGGAACGGATTCTGTCTAGATTTAGCGGTGGTCACTGATGGCACTTGTCTCGGTATAATAACGCCACCTGAACACAGATTTGTATATTATTGTATGTGAAATTGCAAAATATAGTTTGATTTTGAAGTTCACAACCACACAGAGTTACAATAAGAGGGGCGACGTCGTCTGATTTCTACAATTCAATCAGATTTTTCACAACTACAAAAATGTTACCCTTAATCAGAACGGGAGTTAACTCGGTTTTTTTAGCACTTAGTTCCTTTGACTGAATCACATTTCCGTAATCTTCATCTCGTGGCGAATACCAAGTTGTACCATTTGGGAGATAAACGGATACAGTCTCTACGCCCTGTAATTTTCAGCTTTAATCTCTGGTCTATCCAATGTTTTGTTTTGAGTTTCATGATTCGCTTTGCTGAGCGATTCTTCTATAGAATTGACCTCTTGAACTGCAGGAATAACCATAAGGCCATCACCCCACATGAACTGTAATCCCTTATCGTATGTTGCTGGATCTTTTGGGAAATTGAAGAACATTGGTCGAATTACCGTACCGCCCTCCTTAGACGCATAGAAATGAAGTCTGAAAAGGAATCTTTAATAGTTGCGAGCATTTCAACGATCGGCCATCTGACAAAATTTCAAATATCAAAAGCCAATATCGCATTGTGAGCACGGCCATCTGACAATATATCTATTTGAAATATCAAAATATCAATGAAATATCAAAAGCCAAAGTTGCGGCTAGTGAACTGGGCAACGTGAATGTGATCGAGTGGTGGATTTTGATTTCCTACACATTAGCATTATTTGAGCAGCACATAACGCCATTTGATTTGTTACATTTCGCGTGTCGGCTCGAATGTGTTTTAGCAATATTTCCATGCAATTGATATTTGCTATTTCATTGCTTTCATTCTCATTCGAGGTATCCTATTCTACTTAAATGAGAACGGCACAGCGAAACAATGAACAAGCTCGTTATTCAGAAACTCACGAGTAGAGGTACGGCAAGTACCGATAGCGGAATAAGTTCGCCATTCGTGCAGCTTTCGCAACGGACGGCCATTGCGCTGGATCTTGAGGTTTAGCCACATTATTGTTGTGATTCCTAGAGATTCACTGCTTTTCAATCATATTTAAAAGTTTATCTCACGCTAAGCACTGCAACACACTTAGTCAATGTGCAGTTAGTTTTGAAATGCTTTAATTGTACAGCTCGAACAAGTTCTTAATAGTTTCGATGCTCTCATAATGTCGATGCAATGTTATCTACTTCCATATTCATTGCTCTGCTATACATCATACTAGAATTCGGTGTAATCCAATCAAAAACTATTGGAGTGAACCTTGAGAATGAGTGAAAAGCACCGAGTTGTTGCCAACGAAGGCACAATTCCTCTGTTGTGTCGCCATTAAAACCGCAAATATCTGAGCCAACATACGGAATGCCAAACATGTTAAAATCTTGTACACCTATGATGGTTGTAATCAATGTTGGCCATGCTGCCTGATTATCGCCAAGCCAATGGCCTGCGTAACGTCCTGCCGTAGGGAACGTTGATCTGAAATTTATAGTCCAGTTTCATGAATGTTGATCGTTGCAACAGTTATAGTCACATATCGCCGGTGAAGTTGGCACTAAGAATAAAACGAAGATAATACCTAGATATTACGATGCCACGTTTCTGCAGCACATCTTCAATTGCTTTCCTTGTAGCCTTAGCCTCATACAATCCGTACAAATTCTTCGTATTGTAAAGTGTTTGTTTGCCACGTTGAACTGTTCCAAGCATACATAGCGTTTTTGATGCCAAAGTAGCCTTCAATTTCAATCAGTTTGCTTTGATAAGGTAAATTAAAGATGTTACCAAGGAAGAACGCGATATTTATATGAGAACAAAGTCGATGAATGAAACGGTGCAATTCAAGATCAGGCAAAACCAGTCTTCCGGTATAACGAAGCAGAAATGAGGTTTCTCTTGATAGCATCGTTCGATCAACTAGTTACCCTTGGTCCATAGAAGTAGACGTTGTGCGTCTGGAATGGTGGGTAATCGTATTGTTCGATGGTTTCATTGAAGATGTTGCACTTCAACGAGGTTATATTGGGATGATCGGCCAAACCGAAGTACCAAGGGTTGTCTTCGTTTGTGCCAAAACTCGCCGGTTCGTTCATGTCAATCCAAATGCCATCAAACGATATCTGAATGTCACATTTGTAAACTTTTAATCGCTTTGCAATGTTTTCTAGTGTTAAATCCTCCTATAGCAATCGAATCTGTTCAAAGTTATATTTGAAAATTGTTGTTCTTTGGATTAATGTGAAGTTGTTGCGCTCACCTTTTTATGGTACTCTCTGAACTCGTCCACCCACCAATCAACTGTATTTTGCTGTAGATCGGAGAAGTCCGGGAAAGCGGCATGATGGTCAGGCCATACAACGCCTAACATCACCTGAAAATTCGCAGTTTGGTTATTGCGAAAACGAACGTTGCCGTGTCAAAGTTGTGTTGAGTGACGACTTTATAAATAACAATGAATGAGTTTAATGGAAGCCTCTGAATCAACCTTGTGGGAAAATGTTGAAGGCAACAAGAAATTATTATTGAGAACAAGATAACGTTTCAAGATGGGTTGATTGAAGTGAAACTGTAGATTTTCATATACATCGAGCATCAGTTCAAAACACAATCTAGTGAACAGTTGGAACTGAGGGATTAATTAAAGAGCGCCAACTTTAGTTCCACGTGTTGTTGCGTATTGGTTTTGGATATCCATAGGAACGAGGTCATTAGCAGGCCACTCAACGAATGTTGCGTTCTGAAGTAGACGAGAGTAAGTGAATTTTCCTAGTTTCACGTTCTTTCTCTGTGAATGAACCGCAAATGTTTTAGTTCCAAGAAATTGTCAGCTTTTTGCAAAATAATCTAAAGAAGTTTAGGTGAATTGATACTGTTATGAGTTCGGTTGCATTATTCGGCAAGTGTGAACTGCTGCTCAAATTTCCGAATACATCGCAGCAAATAATCTTCTATCAAGTGATGGAAACAGTGCTATAAGATGTTCCGTAATGGAAAAAAGTGATTCACTTTTTGACGGGCGCGCTTGAACGGTTCACTAGTGACATCAATGGCAGGATCGAAAATCAGAATGGCATGAAGATTCTCTTTGTGCATTTGATCGACAAACTCGCCGATTTTACTCCACTTCTGAAATATTTTTCTCCCCTCATTTTCATTTGATATTAATAAGTTTCGTGAGAGTTACGGATAATTGAAATCTGTCAGAGATACTGATTTGAGAAACAAATTTTAATTTCACAAATTTCACACAAATCTGAATTTTCATCAACTCCTGGCGCCTGAACAAGACTCTATTAATCTGATTAGAGCGCTGGTTGAAAGGTATAATCTCAGAAGTGCATTTTAGGGGCCGAACCGCGGTCCACTTGTTTCTGTCTGTTCGCAACTTCTCTCACAATCCCTTAAGGGAACTTCGACAGGAAGTTAGCGATCCACATTGAAATGATTAATAGGGACGGTTCATTGAAACTGAACGTTATTGAACAACGTTATGTGTCTTGGGAGAGTTATTCCAGATTGGTGATTAGAAAACAAATGGAAATACAATGGTATCGAAAACGTAGGAGGTTTGAAAACATCTGTAGTCACTCAAAAGTGCGTTGTATTTCATGTGGAACAGTAATTCTCATAGGGATAAAATTACCCATCTTGGGTAATTTGGAGGTGTCAAGAGGTAATGGAGTGGGTCGGGAAATTAGTATTTCGTTTAGTTGTTACGTCATGATATAACGCCATTGTGATAGTGTTTCTTGTAACTTGGGTATGTGAATGCGGTTAGTTGATGGCAACACTCTTCATTCTCCTATTTTCTGAGTATTATTAGCTCGTCTGAACCTAGCAGGATTCATTTTTCACTGTTTTAACAGGGTTTTCATTCTTTTCCTTGCTGTTACAACCGCTCTCATAGCTTTTATCACCAAAAGTGTTCTCTTCTGCTAATTTCTCATTCATTTCGCACAACAATTAAAGTCAAATTCTCATTCTTTAAAATACACTATATGATTGATCATTTGACTGTCGAGTGTTGTTGAGCAATAACACTCGATTGCTGTATTGTTGACTTCGGTTGTCATCACTCATCAACTTATCCAGTAAATAGTATATGCTACTGAATGAGAAACTGATTCGAACGGTGATGTGAAATGAGACGAAATGAATGAGAAAAACTCATGAAGAGAACGGTATTCACATGCAACGGCTATGAGAGTGAATAGAACATGTCTGAAAAGAATGAGAAATCGTCTAAATCAGTTTGAAGCGAGCATGTGCTAGACAATGGCTTTCCATGCAATCATAATCGATTGTGATAATGAGCAACGCAACGGTCTAGGACAATGGTTGTCATAGGAAGAAAATTCATTCGTTTTGGGTAATTTGGGGGTAACGGCGGCCTGCCGGATCATCAAAAAGGGTAATGAAGCACCCGAACGTGGGAACCACTGATGTTGAATAAGGGAAACCTAAAAATTAAAGCAAGTACAAAGATGCCAAGCCATCTATCATGATTGAGCGAGCAAAAATTCTGCTGCAACTTACTGCACCGATGGTGAAGTCCATGTATCTGTCCATGTAATCGATATCGAAATTTGCCGCATCCAACGGAATACCAGCTTGTTGTGTTCGCTTGATTGCAGCCTCTTGGTCGCTTAGATTTTTGTAAGCATATCTACTCAACTACAAGTTTCTGGTATTTAAGAAGAGATCAACTTTCATCTCAAGAAAAACCATTCATTTATTTAGCCAACGTTTCAAATGAAATGCTCTGATCCACGGGTGATTGAAACTTGCAAGTGTTCTCTAACAAACGCGTCTGAGGCCATATGAGAAATGCATAGTAACTCTACCGCTTAAACTAACGCCTTATGGGGTGACTGGTCAGTTAAATGTGACCATAACGAATGTTATAATCAACATTGCTGGGCGAAATGAACGGGATAAAATATAGATTAATGAAGTCACCTTTCTGAAGATTCAGTGGCAAATGTGGATAATTGTGTGCGTGAGGAGTTTTGACGCTTGCTGATAGTATGATTAAATGAACTCATGAAAATACCTGAAAGCCGAGTGCCCAATATGCTGGCAACATTGGTTTACCAACGAGGATCTCATACTGTCGAACGACTTCTTCTGGTGTTGGTCCGGGGAAGAAATAAATATCGAGCATACCACCAATTGTACGGTAAACGAAATGAGGCCCTGGACCAGTAGTCAATTCCTCAAATGCGTTGAAAAATCATAATATCATCAAAATCAAACCAAAGTTTGTAATTGATGTGTGCACAATCAGATTTGCCTTTAGATATGTAGCTAACAGATTGAGTCTCGTGAGCGAATTTATCTCTGTGAGCTTTTTTTCCTCGAGATATGGAAACGAGAAAGAGTACATTCGAAGGCAAATGTACGAGGTGAAAAGTAATGCATCACTGAAATCGAATCATTCATAACACTATGGAAGATCTTTGTTGTACCTGTGCGTTACTATTCACTATGAGCACTCCATGTGCCTTGCCATCATCTTCCATGCAAATGTAGAACGGATAGACACCGTAAAGGTTTTTCGTATCTTTGTCAAATGAATTCGGTCCTTCATCTCTTGCGAACATTGCCCATGTGGTATAATTATCGAATTCGTGCTATAAGTCCACTTCATTTTTCATTCTGATCAAACGAACGGAATTTCCATATTCATCGGAACCATATTGAATAGAAATCGTATTTTTTTCTTAGCTTTCATAATTCTTATTCGCGTGTCGAATCAATGAACATTAGTCATATGGTGATGATTACCGATATTGTGTGATGTGCATTTTCCCCAAAGCCGTAGACATGCCGACTCGGAAAATATGTGGCCACTTGAATGTACTTATCACTGAACATTAGACTACCTGAAATTGCATTTTAAATTCATTATCAAGTACTCGAATGATATGAAGGTTTTTGAATATTTGATTGTGCTTATTCCAGTTCATAAGTTCAACTTCACATGCACTGTCAGTGATGCCCTCAGAGTTCTGCTTCGTGTCTCTTCACAAGTATCCGCTCACCGCCAAGTGAAGTATTCCATAGTGCCGTATGCGTAGATTTACGTCGCACATAGAACGCAAAAGTTCCGTTGACGTCAGTTTCCACATACAGAGAGTCTGGTGAATGTGAATTCTCATGCTGAAGACCGATATCTGGTTCAAACCTAAATGAAAATTCCGTCATTCAATGGACCAGCACAATGGCCATCCGGTTTCTTTGCTTCACACATTGACTTATTTTGAATTGATGTCATACTATTGTTGAAAATGAAGATGTTCCTAAAACTCCCTCGCTGCTTGATGGTACTCAGTTCGTGTTCTCAAGCTATCACCTAACTTACTATCGCTATCGTACTACTCTAAACTCGCAAGTGAATCATCTTGGCTAATAAAATATTATTAATTCGATTATTCAGTGCGTTATTTGAAAGAATCTCTCATCTTATCTTTGTTGTCGTCAAGAGAATTTTGTCCTCTTATCTCATACTCATAAGAGTTCAGCCATCAAAATATCATTCAGCCACAAAAATTAACTGCTTTGCTTCAGCAAGTAAACATCATAAAGTTAACAAGCAAGTCGACGTTCAACCATAAAACCTAACAAGCTAATGAACAACTCATATTCGTGTTTGACTTTCACAAGTAGTTTTATCACCCATAATAGTTGTTTGCTCTTTTCTCTTACTGTAATTCGCGCAGTTTTATTACCAACTTTTATTGCGTTCATAAACTGCAAACAGATGTGATGTGATGAACATGAATATGTGCACGCTTGAGTTCTCAACTTAATAACAAACAATATTCTACGTCTCATCCAAACTTAACTGCAAAAACCCATCAATCTAATCACAATCACCTATCGTTTCGCCCTATGATCATATTTTAACAACCGCCCAAATTAGCATCGCTGATGAAATAAACCATAAAATAAATTCATTCAACCATAAAAATCTTAAACAATAAAATTTTCTCAATTAACCGTCTCCAAATGCCATCCTAGCGCTGCAAATCGCTGCCATATTGCTCACGGAATGCGCAAAAGTGCAATTACTCACTATCAAACTAATTTTGTTTGTACAGCGCAATTTCGCTTATGAACCGACCAAGGCAATGTTTCCGTCAAGCACATATTACCGTCGGTGCACAAGCTGCATAGGTTTCAACAGTGGCATTAACTCTACTAACAGGTAACCATCGAACACAACCTTTTGGGTAGGGCGTCTGCTGGCTCTATACGGATATTGAGAGTTGCTCCGTAGAAACGTTTTTTGAACGTCAACGGTGAAATGTCCAAGCCATACGGGTTCCTGACGTTGCCAGATTCGCTTTTGATTAAAATGATTTCTTCTGCGCTTTGATTAAACACATTAAAGCCCGTATTACGCGGATAGTAGCAGCTCGGTGCACTAGGAAGATCCTAAAGTTGTCTCTATTGATTTCATTCCTTTAATCACCCCACAGATCCATAAAAAAAGAGTGACATCTCTGGGATAGTAAAGCGTAAATGATCGCACAATAAGTGAAGTGCTGCGAACACCCTCAATCAATTATATCAAGATTCCAGTCTTTTCTTGTCAGTACACAGCGCCATTCTTAACGCTATAATCCTATGGAAGTGCTTAGACGAATTCAAAGTAGAAGCATTTGGGTGCAATTTGATTTGCCAAAAGTCCACCGAGACCTTCAGCGACATGTTGTCAATGAACTCGGTATCAGCTCAAAAAAATGATTCGAATGTTACAGTGAAACCATTCAGAACAATCAATCAAAAATCAAGTTCTAACTGGTGTCGGATCCCAAATGCATTTTCGCTGCAAACAAGACGCATTCGATGGATTTGGTTGAGGGTAACAATCCACTCGATGACGACTGTCAACCGTGAATTGGTCCTCACAGTTAGCACAATGAAGAAATTGTACAAGTGAGGCAATCAGAAGGATGAGTGAATAACGATTCGACATCATCACTGCAATAATCTCAACCAAACAATGTGAACTTTCATCGATATCGTCGCCTACGGAAGTCGCGAAATGAAGTTCGATGATACAAAATCGTCGAAATGTTGATTTCAACGCAATAGCACAACAACAAAATCAGATTAGTCAGGCGGCCGAAGTTGGTTATTCATATCAGGTTCAGCGAGTCAACTAGATACAATTACATTCTACCAATAATCTACAATAAATCAGCGTGTAGTAACTAACGTCCTGAACTTGATTAGGACGTTGCCAGGTAACAAATCCATTATTTTTAGGATAATTTCTCAAGAACTCAAACTTTCAACACAACATACTGATCATGTGATGGAATCGCACTGACTCATTCAGGTGATATTCAGAGAATTCGATTCAAAATCTCATGATAATCAGACCAAAACAAACATGACAATGTTTGCGATAAAATTTTGACTATA